CCTGTATCCCAGTTCTGTATGCACAAATAAATAAATCTTAAAAAAAAAAAAAAAAACTGTTTCCATCAAATCGTGCCCCTGCAAGCACCTTGGGCAGGTGGCTGGCCGCCACAGGGCACCGCAGAGCTGACCCTGGGCTTTCTTTGCTTAGTAGACGCGCAGGTTGGGCTGTGGGTTTTGTCATCTTAACTCCGGTGCACTTATAGACGCTGCCAGTTCATCTGGAGCCACCTGGCCATTTATTTAATTCTTGCACATAAAGCACACCATTATCAGAGACTTTGTCCGACGTCTCAGTCCACGGAGATCAAGATCCGGTCCTTCCTCCATGGCCGCACGCGGCTTGCTGAGGCACCTGGCTCTCCCGCACCGGTTCCACCAGGTCGACGTCCCCTCCCTCATCTGCTCGTGTCCCCACCTTAACCTCCCTCTTCCCAGCCGCAGCTATGAGGCACACTTGTGCTCCTGCCCTTCCTGCTGGAAAATCCTTAGACTCCTGCCCGTAACCTGTCCTGCTACTGAGCATCTCCTGTGGAAGGAGCCCTGGCGCCCGCCGCTGCTGCTCTGGCGGCTGTGTAGATTAGAACCCTGGCTGGAGGGTTTTGGGGGCTGGGAGGACAATTGAGTATGTTGTGTGCGGCTGTTCCACACAGCCGCTTGCTCTGCTATCCATGGCTGTTCTCTCCCCACAGGCGACCTCTGAGAGTAACTGCCCTGGTCATATCTAGTCCACTGTGACGAGGAATAGCTGGTCATAGGTGGCTGGTCACGTGGGACGCATTCATAAGGCGGTAAGGGGAGAAGGCCCATGGAGAGCAATGCTAAACAAAGATGCAATAAAATAAGGAACATGTCACACTGGGAAGAGCGATTGCCAATATCCCGAAGCAAGCACGAGTTGAAGTTGACAGATTGTGAAGAAATAGGAAGAAAATTAGTGTGAATACAATAGGATAAAGGAATGAAGGACTGTGAAGGATAATTTAAACGAACAGAAGTAAAATTTAAAAGTAGCATTAACATTGTAAAGCGTGTCCAGGCATAAAATCTACAGCATTATTGGTTTTCAGTGAGATTTTTTTTTTAAAGTGTGAAATGGGTTGTAATGTTTGAGGAAGTTGAGAAATGGTTTGATTTTTTGCTACCTTATTCTTATATTCCATTTTATCTGTATCAAAGTCATAACATGCAAGTGTTGGATTTATAGGCCAGCACAATCAAGATGAAATAATTTATTTAAAATGCTGTACTTCTGACCTCAGCGTGAAATGTTCTAACACAACTGCCTACTTTCAGTTTGTTAGACCATCTTATTGTCAGCTTAGGACTGTCAGAACAGCATTCAATGTTATGACACTGGACATAAAATTCTATTCCAAATTTGTAAATATTAATATTAAAACTAGCAACAATCCTCTGTGTGTATATGCTCATGAGGCATAAGTATGTACTTCTGTTCATGGCTCACCAGTGTCCATACTTTACATCTATTTACACTGACCTGTGGTTGAAAAAAAAAAAAAAGCATATAGAATAAGTTTAAACCACGATTTGGAAAAACAGCACCTACAACATTTTAGACTTTCTTCTTCAGACATTGTAACTCTTTATATATTGATGGTTTTTTCAGGACAAGAAGCTTTAGAATAGGTCTCACTTCAATTATTTAATTTCACAGTACTTGAATGGAACTAGGTGACTGAACATTGTACAAACTTAAAATCCTGATCTTAAAGTTAATTTTATGGCTACGAAAAGCTTCATGAAGGCACTCTTGACCTCTTTATTCCTCAGGCTGTAGACCATGGGGTTCAGCCTGGGGATGATGATGGTATAGAACACAGACACCATTTTGTCGGTGTCCATGGAATGGCTGGAAGTAGGCTGTAGGTACATGAAGATGACAGTTCCATAGAGGATGGAGACGGCGACAAAGTGGGAGGCGCAGGTGGACACAGCCTTCTGATAGCTTGCAGAGGAGCGCATCTTTAGAATGGTGGCAAATATGAATACATAGGATACCCAAATAACCAGCAGAGCTAGAAAGATTTGGATACTAACGACATAAAAAAGAACCAGTTCTCTGACATGCCTATCAGAGCAAGAGAGAGACATGACTGCTGGAATATCACAGAAAAAGTTATGGACCACATTGGAGCTGCAGTAAGTGAGGCTGAATGTGTCCGCAACATGGATAGAGGCATTCATGATACCACAGAGGTAAGAGGCTATGGCCAGACGTGCACACACACCTGTGTTCATGGTGGTGGTGTAATGCAGGGGTTTGCACACAGCTGCATAGCGGTCATAGGCCATTGTGGCCAACAGGAAATTTTCAACAGTGGCAAATTTTGCAAAAAAGAACATCTGTGTGGCACAGGCATTGTAGGAAATGACCTTTTCTTCTATAAGGAAACCAGCTATGACCATAGGAGTGATAGTTGTAGAGTAACCAAAGTCTACTAGAGACAGGTGACTAAGGAAGAAGTACATGGGCGTGTGGAGACGAGAGTCCAAGAGGATCAGCACCATCATGCCCAGGTTCCCAACCACAGTGATGAGGTAGATGAGGGTGAACGTTATAAACAGTGGGATCTGCAGCTGTGGGCCATCGGTCAGTCCTAGGAGAATGAACTTGGTCACTTCTGTGCTGTTCTTCATTGCTGTTGGGTCACAAAATGCTTTGGGGGTATGAGCAGAGACAGTAATAAACAAAATTAAGCTGAAAATTGCATATAGAGTATCATTTCATTTAGTAATAACTTGTACTTCAAGAATATCCATGCTTAAAAAAATTACTTGAGAAGCCATTGAAAGAATTATCTTCATATTTTACTTCTCTACAAGTTTATAGTCTGACATATATAAAATCAGATGAGTTGATCAATGCCTTGTCCAGTATGAATATATCTATTTTTATATTGCTCACCTAACCTCTCTAGATAGTTTGGATATGGAAAACATACCCAGTGACTTCTAAGACAGTGGACTTAGTGAAATTTAAACCAAATGGAATTTAACTCAATTTACCTATTGTCTCCATTGATCCAAATTCAGTATTTGTGATTTCACAAGGAAGACACTGTTTAGTGGCTGTGACAGAACAACTGTACCAGCAGGTACATGTACAAGCAGCAGAGACAAGTTTGAAGGGGAAGCTTCAGGATGAGGTACAAATCCCTTTTGCTGTTTTCTGCCTATAAATGATAGGCTCTATCTAATTTCCTAACCTTCATTTTCCTTCCATGGGATACAAACAGTAGTATAATCTATTTTGCATAAGACTTGCGACTTACAAAAAGATAATTCCTAAAAACAATCAGGTTTGGGGTTAAGTCTGATGAGAGTTAGCTGTGATATTATTATGAGGATACAATGATGATTTTTATGTCAGTTTGGGAAAAATGGGAGGCAGGTTATAGAACTTCAGGTGTGGGTGAGTTCTGAAACTCTTCTTTGACATTCTGTTTCTGCCACCCCAGGATCACTGGAATTTTCTGTGGTCTCTGGGGTGTCTCAGTCTGCTATTGCTTCCCCCATAGAATGGGTTGCTCCAGCAATTCCATGTGAGTCCTTCTGCTTAATTTCTTCCTCAATATCCACATCTAGTTTGGATAAGAGTGTCTTTTTCTTAAAATCTTTCCTCATTACTGCCTTGTCATGGCATGAGCACAGATATAAAGGTTGATTGAACCTTCCTTATTTGTGAGTCATCCTCAGTTCATAAATCTGTTTTGGCAACAGACACCTTAATGGTAATTTTTTCATTTTTATTTTCATCTTTTCACTTATGTTTTAACCTTTTGGGAGGGCATCCATACTTGGTTAACTACTGCCATTTTCTTCCTAAGCCTTTTGCAATGTTACTCCGCAAGCCTTCCATGAGACAATATGTTTGCAGACCTTCTCCCCTCTGACTATGGTTAGCATAAAATGTGTTCTTCCACAGCCAAGTATGGAACTTATCTGCTTGTGTGAATTGTGTTGTGTGTGTGTTTGAGGTAGCTAGTATTATTATAATACCTTCTTTAGCATTAAGGAAATGAAGGGCTTAAGAGGTTATGTGGTACTTTAAAAACACTTGTTTCTATCTGGGCATTCCATGTTCACTGAGCACTATTCCCAATACCTAAGATGTGGGAACAACCTAGTTGCCCACAACAGTTAATTGTGTAATGAATAGAAGTTGAAGATGCATAATGGAAGACTACACAGCTATATATAAGAAAATGTAATTTAATCATTCCACCAACATGGATAGAGTTTGAGAAAGTTGTGCTAACTGAATTATCAAAAACAGAAGGCAAATCTTATACAGTTTCACTCATGTGAACAATATAAAGAAACAAAGCCAAGAAGCAAAGGAAACAAAATGAATATAAACCATTGGACTCTGATAACACCATGGTATTTCTGTGGCATAAGAGGTAGGAATGGGCAGAAGGATCAATTAATAAGGTGATCAGTTATTACAATGGTATGGTGGTTGTGGTGTGGATAATGCATTAGACGAAGTGTGAAACTGTACTCATAAAACTGTACTCATGTTGTTACCCCAATAAAAATAAAGATTAAAAGCAGTGCTTTTACTAGAGTCAAGATTCAATAATTAAATTTGTTTTTGATCAAAAATCAATGCCTTTGCCAATCTATGCCATTGACCATTAATATATGGGCATGTGTCAGTAGTAATAAGCATAAGACTGTAAGTAAAAGTTTAAAATGAAGTTAGGCCACTATTAATTCATAATGATACTTTTATAGTTTAAGGATCACCCAACATTCCTGCTTTGTTTTTGTTTGTTTGTTTAACCTCCAATCAGAGGCCAAAACTTAGCGAACACAATCGATTATACTTGCTCAATCAGAGCATTGTCTATTTTACTAATTCTGTGTTCATTTCTTTAGGAAAGCAGGATGGTGTTTCATAAACATCAGTAAACAGTTGTGATAGAAATTTTGACAGTTATATTCCAGTCTTATCTCATTTTAGGAACACATTGAAATAATCTATTTCTATTTCACATTACTTGAACTGTGGTTGCCCCACAGATTTTTCAAGAATAACACCAATTTTTCTTGGATGTCCTTTTTAATATTTAATTTCTTTATTTGTATGCATTTCACATCAGATGTAGTCCCCATAGAATTTCCACCACCAGAGAAATAGCACTTCTCACTAAAAAATAATTTATAGAAGGTGGATGCTTACCTGGCTGCTGGAGGAGGATGAATGTTCAGTTCAGAGTAGTGAGACAGAAGTCAGAATAACAGCTGTAAAATAACACCTAAGTACCAGTAGAGTACTCCCTAGCAGGAGTTTTGATTATGGCAGAAGTCCTCTTGAGTGGTAAAATAGGGAATAAGCTATTCATGAGGGCCAAACCCCAAGCCTACTTTGCGTTCTTTCTCTGTCTTTTCAGGTGTCATGTCCTTCCCTCTTTTTTTATTCCGTAACAACAACAGCAAATAACAGATTACCTCTTTCTTTAAATCACATAAGTGTTTCTAAATAGCAAATATAGGAAACCTTAAGTCATAACTCTAAAGGGTTATCATTTTAAGCCAACCCATTTATGTTTTGCCTGGGGGCACTTTCCTTGACAACATTCAAGGGCCAGAGAAAATTCTTAAGTTGGGAAGACCTCTGTGTGCTGCAAGAATTAACATACCAGAGAGTAAAGATGATCTTATGGGGTGAGCAGCAGGAAGCCCTGTGCAATGAGGTGATGTGGTCATTTTGGAATCCAAAGGCTAATGTATGGGCCTGGGGAGAGAATTATAGAAACCTGGGGCTCTCTGGGAATTTCCCCGGTGAGGACATGGACAATTTGTCATCCTGTTTTCCCTTGAACAAATCAGGTAAACTGTCTGTGGGGATGTGGCTTGCCCCCCCAAACCCCACTATATACACAGTTTTTTGTATCACTTGTTTTTGTATTATGTGCTATTTCTTCTTTTTGTTTATTTATGAGTTATACCTAATTTACCTATAGTAATATCTACAATTGTTATACATCATTCTAAGAATTTTGTCAAGTAATCAAAACCATACTACATTTTTATCAACTTCTTTTGATAAAACTTTTCTGCCTCCCACTGTCCTTGGCTACAAGTTAGCTCTTTGTTTTATTTTGTTTTGTTTTGTTTCAAATAATTTTGCATTTTTAAGATGCTCTCTAGTACCTTGTCTTTAAACCTGCATTTGCTCACTTAGTACTAGATTCATTCATATTGTGGAGAAGTGGAAAATGTTCTCTTGCAGGTAGTAGTCCAGCATATGGACATTACAGAGTTTCTCACATTCTGCAGGCAAGGAACATGTGTTTTTCTTCAAGTGTTTGTTAATTACAAATAAAATTGGTGTAAATATTTCTCTGAATTATTTTTTTTATGTGAATGCAGGTTTCTGTTTCATTTGGGCAAATACCTAGAAGTTAGATTGTTTGGTCACATTGTAAAGTATATTTAGTACTTGGGTAAAAGACTGCAAACTCTACTCTAAGTGACTTTTTTTTTTATAACAGTTTATTTTTACATCATTTTGTACATTTTTTTTT